CAGACGCTGAGCTCTCAGGAGACTGTACAGTCTCAGCATCCATCTTCAGAGTATCAAAACCTGGAAAGAAAAATGTGAGAAATTATTGATAATCATCCTGACACTCCCACAACAGGTAAACACTGTTACAATGAAACAAGTTGATGTGTCCCATGAACTGTATAATAGGCCAGGCCTCCAGCATATAACTGTCACATACCAAAATAAAACAGCAATTCAATGTCACATATTTAAGTGAATTACAACAATTATCACAAAAATAGCTAGCAAAAATTAAATGTGAATATGATTCTAATTGTGCCAAAAATAGGAAGTGAATCATACCATTACTTTCCCATTTAATGTCACCTTTTAGTATTAATCAACTGGGAAAATATTTTAAAAGGACTGATTCAAATCTAAGTTCTAATTGACGTCTCATTAAGCCTAAAATCTTATTATAATCTAGTGAACGTAATTCAAATTATCAAAGTTTTTCATAAAACAGTAAAACTTGACACACACAAAATTTGGACAAAACGGTTCATTTTCCATTTTTTTCTTAAAAATGGATTATATTAATTAATAGCAAATGCCAAATCTACCTTGACCTATGATTTCGAGTCCAGGAACATATAAATTGTGTGGACGACTGGGACATTGAGCTGCTCATCATTAACGGAACATATTACATGAACACTCAGCAAGTTACTGTGATATTATATTTATGTCAAAATCACCGCCATCTAACACATAATTACTCAGCATATGGCTCGCATGGATCCAACATTGAAATATAAATCGATCATAGTGGAGCTAATTTGAGGCAAACTTTCGCCAGTATTTTTGTACTATACAAAAGTAAGATTTTCATTTGTTGCTGCAGCAACTCTTACTATCACACACTTATAAACCAATTGTATTAAAAGAAAAAATCTGAAAATTACCTCAAGCAACCATTCTAACGCATCACAACACAAAATCCGGAAGCGAAGAAGCGTACGAATGTGACGCACAATAATAGCAAATGGCGCAGTTTTTGGCAAAAACTTCTTCATGGACATGAAAACTTATAAGATACCAAAACTTATGGGCCTTTTTCTTGGCCCTTCTCTTCTACGCAATGTTTTCTGGAGCTCTGCTTTTCTTTTGGCCTGAAAATTCGAGGATATTTAAAATTTTACAATTTTATATAAAGTTTAAAGTGTTTGAAAATAACTAAAATAAAAAACAAGTGCTGAATGTACCCTTAGGCGTTTTAAAGTCGACCAAAAAAAGACAAAAATTAGCCTATTTATATCAATAAGAAATGGGGCGAGGAGGGGAGGAAGGAGGCAGGGAGGATTGTGGAACTTGAGGGAAAAGTTTATTTTCGCTTTCTACATGTCTGTTGTGGTTTATTGATGAAATATTTGTATCTAACTAGTATGCGGTGTGACTGCAACCATCTCTCTTTGATGAGGTTGTGTGACTTTTTGTTTTGTTTGGTCAAGTTATAACTCAAACCTAAACTCAAACCATGACCATTACATTTCAATTTCAAGTTATTTTAATCCATTTGATCCTAAAACATCAACATTGTCAAATTTCATGTCTTTTGATTGGTAATTGATCTAAATGTCCAGTATTTGGTCTCTATCAACATCAATATTCAATGTAAAGAATGTCTGGAAAATAGAGCATAGTCATGGTCTGGGCTCCTGTCAAGTCAGATTGGTGACCTATCAAACCGTAACTTGTCATTCCATCTCAATCTTGGATGTGGATTGCCTAAAGTGGGGATGGTCTTTGATCGGTATCAGTATCAGCAGGTATACCTGCTGATACATACCTATAATGGTACCTATACATACCTATATCAGTTGGTGACATACCAGGGAAATAAGCTAAAATTAGAGCACTCTATTTATTGCTCCTGCCCCATGTTGAAGAGATACCCCTAAAAGCGTGATCTTTTATCGGCCCTTACGCAGCTAGGCAGTAATTCTCAGACCGGTGGATGGTATCAATAGAAAGAGAATGCGTCAAGGATTAACATGAATTAATTAAAATAACATTAAAATGTTAATGAAGCGTGGAAATTAGTCCCAAACATAAGCTAATTATTGCTCCTACCTCGGCGACGGCGCTCCCCGCAGTCGGCGGAGAAGCTAAAATAAAAGCCACCATCCTCCTCCGTAAGTCAATTTTAGAGCGGCCGAGTGGGCCGATGCGGGGCCACCAAACTGAGGTGAGACGTGGCTAGTAATTGCAAACCGCCATAGAAATCAATATCTTAAGACGTACAATATGGGATGATTACTCTGAAGCTGGAGTGAAAGCATGAGTAGATTGCAAGAAACGAAATGCATAGATTGGTTGAATTATGTACAATAGGCACAGCTCAGATGAAGCCATTTCTATGATGTTGACATATGACATAACCCTTCCTCTCCTCACCTATGACCTAAGTGCATTGGCAGTTACCGGCATAGTTTTTGAGCACGAGTGCAATTCGCCATCGGACCGCAATACATGTTGCTAGGCTGCTGCAATTACAACGAACATACGAATACTGCCTTCATTTGTAGACGTTTGTTTTTTAGGCGGTCTTTGACGTGCAAGGGGGCATACCTGTCGACAACTTGAGTTTCTCCGAATTTCAAAAACTCCCAGAATTTCAATTCCTTATGCACTGTTGTAGGTACAGCTATGTTCACAAGTTTTCGTTTCCTCCTGTTCTAAAAAGGATGATATTTGTCGATTTCGTGCGTCGCTGATAGGAGGGTGCGTTTGATAATTAGGCCCAACGCTTTCTGCATCCGCGAGTAGGTACCTTCAAAAGGGAACAACAGTTTCCATTTATTACACTATGGGACATGTGACAAAATGACCACTGGAACACGCATGAAACGGAGCTCATATTCCTAAAAATGTCTACAATCACTTCTTTTCTGACACTATTAGCAAATACCATCTCAAGTTAGGTGGTTGACAGACAGTCAATGGAGATCTGGGGAGACTGAGTGATGCTAATTCACCACTTAACTGATAATGAGGGCCGAGGGAAGAGAAACATGCAACATGCACAACTGACAACTTGACAAGTGACAAAACACTACCACTATTGCGCAGTGCACAACCAAATTACAGCAGCCAGCCCAAAAAATGCTTTTGGTGGCTAATTGCAAAACAAGTCACTAATAAATGTCTTAGTTGCAGCTGAACACTGCACAATAATCACACTGTTCACACATTGAGTGAGATGCCACAGGTGGTTTGAATCACACTTTGGTTCAACTGCAAATCTGAAGTGTTGTCATGAGGTTCATGCCTCCATGATCACAGCACTTTGGTTGTGGTTGACATAACACTTGTAGTCTGCAGAGTTCCACATGAACTGCAGACACCTCATCTGGTGGTCTTCATGTTGCTCAACTTCTTCAGGAGGCAAATGTCGACCACCCAGCAGAAGCATGGTCCTGCAGAAAAGAAAGGTAATGCATAAGGTACAAACATTATCTGCTGAAACAGCTCCTTCTGTTGGCTGTTATTAAACTTTTAACATAGGTAACATAACACCATGTATTCTATGTATATTACATTTGTTGAAGTAAAATACTGCCGGCTATTTCAAAACCAGAAAATGAAATTATATTGTGGCATAATTCACCTGCTCAGCTATTAGTATCAAATAATAATTAATTTAATATTAAGCATATTCTATATAACACATTCATAGAATATTCTACTTCACGTCACAAGGACTCACAATCTTTCTGTTTGGTGTTTGATTGACGCATTAATTAAGTTTGTCTTAGGTTTTATTATTGCAAAAAAATCATATTGCATTATTGTATCAAAATACTGCCAGCAATAACAAAACAAGAACATGAAATGCCAATGAGCAGGCCGCCTTTCCTTAAAATGGATTACTTTGAAAGGAATTTTAGTTTCTTTTAAGGAAAAGGAGAAATGATTATCAGGTAATTATCAGAAAACCACTCAACCAGCAAGTGGCTGGGTGGTTTCACAGCAAACATCAAGCCAAAACATATGCTTACATCTATCTAACAATTGAGCCATTTGACTACTACAAGGATATGTGAGCAAAATAAGAATCAAATTATCCAGTGTTGACTTCCTTGCAAAGTTTATGCCTTATTTTATGAAAATGTGTCACTAGAATATGATACTTATCATCGAATATTATTTAATTTACGATTTATTTCGATCGGAATGCACATGGAGTCCCGCGCCATTTTCGTCGACGATGAATATGATCGTGTTTCATGAAGAGATAAGGGGTTTCAATGGTATTTCAAAGCAATAATTTGATGCAAAAATTTGTAGGAAATAATATGAAGCTGGTTCAAATGGCCATCAACCATTTAAAACACCGAAAATACTCACAACTCCGTCCCGACGACCACGCAGCACCGCGCACGCCACACTACTGGCACAATGCCAAAACTGTTGTCACAGCGGAAATGTTTTTTTTTTCTCGATTGCAATTGTGGAATTATTTATTAAACAGAAGATGATCTTTCCGAAAAACCGACTGATTTCATACACAGATGCATGGAAAATAAAAAAAATCCCGGTAAGTTTATTTGTATTGTTTTGTCGATTTTGACATGCTCCTAGTTTGCAGCCATATTTCGATATGTTCTACAGGGAGTTCAGAATTATTTCAGGACCAATCTTTTCCTCATTCATTTTCCCGTCGATCATGAAATTTTTAGAGCGGAACAATTGGTTTCCAGGCGGTCCGAGCGGTTTTCGTGAGAAGGGTGCAAAAATCGGCGTCATTTTTAGAGCCTCGACACCAGCTCAACACAGGACCCTATGGGAGACGGTGAAGTAGCGGGAGCAATAAATAGAGTGCTCTAATTTTAGCTTATTTCCCTGGTGTGTCACCGACTGATATATACCTATACATACCTATAAGGTACATACCTATAGGTATGTACCTGCATCACTACCTACCTATTGGGTGTATTGTATCAAGTGTTCTTATTCATATCTCTGTCTTTTTTCAGGGACATTTAAATTCAGCAATGTCTGCAACTGCATGTTTTATGTGCTGCACTATCTCTCCTGGCAGTGTGCCAGCCCTGGACACAATTTGTCTGCCTTCTGGCAAGTCTGTAGCTGAGCAGCTATGCAGAGGCTTAGGTGGATATCTGCTGCCATTAATGCCTCAACATGTGGCTTGTATTTCGTGTCAACAAACTGTAAGCCACCTTGACCAGTTGTGGGCAGAAGCTGAAAGACTTCAAAACATTTTATCAGATAAATTTATCAAAGCTTTGCATCACAACCAGGCAAGTATAGTTAACCACTGGATGAAATCTGTTCTTTGAGTTTGTTTAATGTTTGTTACCTATTAAACTTCATGCATGATGCTGGCTTAGTTGATATGCTGGCTTAGTTAATGCTAATTTCTTTATATCCTCATTTTCAACAAGCACCATCATTGATGCTTTTAATACACCACTCTTTCTTCCTCAGGAGAAGATCAACAGTTTGATGACACCAGAAACTGAAGGTGTACCAGCTTCCAGCTCCTTGCCTGGTGGCCATCTACCATCACCAGTTGATGTGGATGATCCCAGTTATGTGGCCACCAAACTACAACATGAAGACATTTATTGTCCACCAGATGACTCATCACAGGCCTCTGAGCCTGATAGTCCCACCTATGTTATTATGGATGATCCTGGTAGTTTGCATGAAGAACATTGCCACTCTCAGTTTGATTCTGTTGGCATGCATACAGCTGTTCAGACTCAGAACAGCTCAGAATTTGTGGATTCAGAGGATAAAGAAATACACCAGTCTGGTGAAATCACCTTTATCCCAAACACACAGGTCACAAACCTCACTCGTACAGATAACACGGAAGTTCCTGAAACTGAAGAATCCCACGAGCCTGCTCCTCCTTCCCAAGCATCCAGTCGCGCCGCGAGAACGGGTCCGAAGACGTGCCCGCACTGCGGTAAGACGTACCGCCGATGGAGGGACTTGGACACGCACCTCAGCACGCACACTGGCAGCCTGCCGTACCAGTGCGCCGAGTGCGGCCGGCAGTTTGCCTCGCGGCGCCGCCTGATCGACCACCAGCGCGGCCACGCCGGCGGCTGGACCTGCCAGATCTGCAACAAGGTGAGTCGCTAGACAGGGAGGGAGATGTGCAACAGTGAATGGTTAAAGGGACACTCCCACCTTAACATTAGTTTTGAGTTGAGATAGCCAAATTGGTGGCCATGGCCTGCAAATACCGGTTTGGGCACTCACAACATCGACAAATGCTTTAATTCGGAGATATGGAATTTCAAACTTGCAGTTTTCGGATTCTAAGGGGCTAGTGCATTGGTATGCCCCCTTAGAATTTGTGACGTCAGCGGAGATCTAACGATTTTTAAATCTTTTACTAAAACGTTTGGTAGCACACGGTGGTATATGCTGCTTTGCGCGCAACAAATGCCGCACTTTCAAATAAAGTCGCTAGGAACAGCGGAGATCCCAAAAAGTAAACAAAAGTAAAAGTCTAATATCTTGAAAACCGGTGAATATTTTTCGATGAAATTTGGTAGATATTCGTTTTCGCTCTTTCTGAACCGAGCGACATCACTTTCGTGCCAATTCATTAACTTTTTTGAAGGTGGGAGGGTCCCTTTAAGTGGTGACTGGCTGCGATCGTGACGGGAGATAAAAAATCGTAGACACTGATTAGTTTTTTTCGCTTTTGTTTATGGGCGAAGATCGGACAAGCGTCAATTTATCCGTTTTGGATCGGCGTTGAGCTACATTTATCAGTATGCATCAACAATTCAACACGAATCGGTTTATTATCTTTAACGAATCGCAGGTCACGCATAGCATGCATGACTAAGTGACTGCAGCTGCACGAGCTACTGAGTACTGAGTACTGACACTGGGTCGGTGTCGATCCACACTGTGCCGATTTCTATTCACTCAGTCTGCTGTTTTTCAGGTGTTCCGGCACCCGTCCAGTCTGCAGCACCACCGGCGGCAGCACGAGCGGCAGGCGCCGGCCGCCGTGTGCCCCATCTGCTCGCTCTCCCTCTCCAGCGCCGCCCACTTGCGCGACCACCTGCGCACTCACTCGGACGAGCGGCCGTTCCAGTGTCGCTCCTGTCCGCGCGCCTTCCGACAAGCGTCCACTCTACGTGTGCACTCCCGAATACACTCGGGCGAACGGCCGTTCCAGTGCGATGCTTGCGGGAAGGGATTCCGCGCCCGCGCGGCGTTCATGACGCATCTGCAGCAGCACGGCGCGGTGGAGCCGCGTTTCTCGTGCGATACGTGCGGGAAGACGTTCTTCTACAAGAGTAAGATGGAGCGTCACCGCGCCACGCACGGAGGTCCGCAGGCAGCCTGCTGCGAGCAGTGCGGAGCGACGTTCAGCTCGGTGGCGGCGCTGAACCGCCACCAGGTGACACACAGTTCCCAGAGGCCGCACGGCTGCCCCGACTGCGGACGCAAGTTCAAGGAGGCCGGCGTGCTGAGGAAGCACCAGCGGCAGATGCACGCGGCAGACGCGGCGCATGAGTGCTCCGTATGCGGCAAGCGGTGCGCAGGGCCGTTCAAGCTAAGTGAACACATGCGAACACACACTGGGGAGCGACCGTTCGGGTGTCCGCTGTGCCCAAAGTCGTTCACTCAGGCGGTGCATCTCAGTAAGCACCAGAGGACGCACCAGCGGACGGAGGCGCCACTGGAATTCGGGACCGTGTGACCGGCGGCCGTCACCGTCATTATTGTAAGGCTGTGACTCGCGACTTGTGATCTGCCCTCTTTTCGGGATATTTTTGTGAGATACCTACGTGACATGATTATGTTGTTTAGACCTCATTTCAAACAAGTCATTGATCACGGAAAGAAGAATGTCTCATAAAAGGTATATTTTCGTAACATTTACGAATTTTTCTGCCAGAAGAACGTAACATTGCGACAAATCAGTCGACAACGCACAGAGCTGTTGTCCTCATAGCAAGAGCTATACAAGATCATCACACATTATTGCACATTGTACCCAACAGATCTATCGCCATTTGCGTCAGAGTTTCAACGACTTGGTAAAGAGTGGAAAAGCGTCACTCAAATTACGTCAATCGTTCTATATGAAGAAACAAACACAATAGGAAGCCACCACCTTTTTTTTAGATCGCTTATGAATGCATCAAATTTCTATAGCCGGAACTAGTAATAAAGTCCCATGCTATCCACACAAAAGCAATAAACAAATTAAAACGAATGATCAAATAGCACTCTTTCGGGTCAAGACTGGGCCATTTTTCAAAGCTTACACTGATGGACTCTAAAACGGTGTCATTTATCAGCAGCAGCTTACGATTCACAACCAACATCACTATAATAATCAAAATATGGGCCACATACTGTGCGATAATCACCGAACACAAATCATACCTGACGTAGTGACAAACCCTGAGTCGCCCGATCGCTTCAACCTACTTCTCTTCTGCCGCTGCGACTTCCGCCTGCCGCTTGGCCAGCATGGCCTGCGCCACCTTGCTCATGTTGGCCCTGTTGAGTTTGTCACAGATGTACTGTCCGGCGTCCACCAGAGCCGACAGCTCCACGCCCGTTTCCACGTTCAGACCGTGCAGCATGTAGACCACATCCTCAGTCGCCACGTTACCCGAGGCGCCGCGCGCGTACGGACACCCGCCCAGGCCAGCCACACTGGCGTCCACCACCCGCACGCCCATCTGCAGCGCCGTGAGGATGTTGGCCAGCGCCTGGCCGTAGGTGTCGTGACAGTGGATGGCCAGCGCACTGGCCGGCACCTCGCGCTGAACGGCCTCCAGCATCGCGCGCACGACGCCCGGCGTGCCCACACCGATCGTGTCGCCTAGCGAGATCTCGTAACATCCGAGCTTGTGGAGGCGACGCGCGACCGCCGCCACCGCCGACGGCCGCACGGCGCCCTCGTACGGACAGCCGCACACGCACGAAACGTAGCCGCGCACTCGCAGACCAGCCTCGCGCGCTGCCTCGACCACCGGCTGGAAGCGCGCGAAACTCTCCTCGATCGAGCAGTTGATGTTGCGTCGTGAGAACGCCTCTGAGGCGGCGCCAAACACTGCCACCTCCTCGGCGCCGGCGTCGATGGCGCCGCGCAGTCCGCGCATGTTGGGCACCAGCACCGGGTAGCGCACGCCGGCGTCTCGCGGCAGGGCGGCCAGCACGGCGGCGCCGTCGGCCATCTGCGGCACCCACTTGGCCGACACGAAGCTGGCCGCCTCGATGGTGCGCAGCCCGGCGCCGGCCAGCCGGCGGATCAGCTCCACCTTGACGGCCGTCGGCACCGCCTGCGGCTCGTTCTGCAGCCCGTCCCGCGGCCCCACCTCCACGATACGGACTGAGAGCGGACGCTGGCCGCCGAGACCCGGGTCACCGGCACTGCCGGCCGCCGAGTGGAGCGCAGCGCTCAGCTGACGTGTCTGAGAGCAGGAACGCTTCAGCAGGGAAGTGGCGCACCGACGCCAGCACAGCAGGTATTCCATGGTGCCTGTGAATGTAAAAATAGCATGAAACCTTTTACCAATAAGATTTAGGGAGATGATGATGATGAATTGGGGTTTTTGGGTGCCCGGACTACAGTGGTCATCAGCGTAAGATTTAGGTAATTTGAATTACTTTGCTGCATATCATAATCATTCAGTGAGGTCATCATTTACCACTGGAGCAGAAAAGTCCACAGAGATGCCAACAACCAACATGGAGAACTAGAGGAACCAGCATCAAATCCTCTCTTTGGTCTTTAGTCCTTTGAGTTGGGATGCAGCAAATTTCCAGAAACGTGCACTATTCAGAGGTTAATGCCTGCCACACCAGTGTCAGATATTTGGTTGTAGGTTGCAGGTTTATAGCATGTATGTTTTAGGTTTGTGGGTTGGTAGGTGGTAGGCATAGGTAAGGATAGGTCAGATCAAGGTTAGTTTAGGTAAGAAAGGGTGACATTGGCATCAGCTTTACCAATACCACCATAGCTGCAATGACATATTGATATTACAATTCGTTATGATCGATCGGATTAACAGACCATCGTTGATCTAAAACCACAAATATTTCTCGCAGCTGGTAACGTATTCACACAAAAATCCATTGATGCTGATGCACGATCCAAGAAGAGAAATGCTTATTGTTGTTGTTGTTGAAGAGTTAGGGCGCGCAGCAAAATGCTTATCAAACAAGTAGGTATCAGTGTACAATGCTAGCTCACAAACTATCAATCCACAATCAATCAATCAGCCATATGTGAAATCACCTGTAACTGTAGTCTATACCAAGATTCTTACAGATATACCTGCATCACCTGTAAATCAATTGTACAACTTATTAAAATGAAAAACAGGCAACCAAACAAAATATCTTGAGCGGAGCATCAAAACAAAGACGGTTCTAGCGCAGGTGGCGTTCATTAAATACACTAGCTACTCACTTGTGGGTTACCAAATAAATATTGACGAATCAAACGGCTGAATTTCGCTGTTTACTCATAAGCAATGAAATGCTGAACACATAAAATCATCTCTAATCTTGTAAACATGTGGGATGAGACGGGACTCACCTGGTTGACTCACCTGGTTGGGTTCCCAGTGTCAAGAAATGTAGATGGAAGGAAAGAGTAGGACAGACAGGAACCCTGAATCCTAGACGCGCCAGCCGGGGGAGATCTTCACTTGTGGTTGGCGAGCGCAGAAAGCTGGAATTTAGCGTCTTCCGTTGAGTCCGGCGTGTATGCATGTACAAACACACTGTGGTTTTTCACAGAGACAAAAAAGAAAAAGAAAATGAATACAGTGCAGAGAGGCCGGCAGAATATGCAGCGCGCTAAAGTTTTGTACAGTTGTTCAAGCAACGTTAGACATAGGCGAACAAACTCCCATGCAAAGTGTCATGCAGGACCTCCTTGAACCTAGATAGGTTTGGGGCACATACCGCCTCTGCGGGTAGGGCATTCCAAAGACGCATACACCTCACAGTGAAAAAACGCTTCCTAACATCTGTGCGTGAGTGCAAGGGAAAGATCTTGTGACAGTGACCTCTGGTGCGAGTTTGGGGACACAGGCTAAACAGTTCATCAGGAGCAATGCAAGACTTCCTATTGAAGATTTTCCAACACTGAATGAGATCAGCGCGTGTCAATCGACCCTGAACCGAATACAAGTTCAGCTCCTGCAAGCGATCAGCGTAGCTCAATGAGGCTAGCCCATCGATTCGCTTGGTCCAACGTCGCTGAACCCTCTCCAAGAGTCGCATATCCTCTATGTAGCCAGTGTACCAGACACAAGAGCAATATTCAAGCATTGGACGAATATGAGTAAGCAATAGAAACAACATGAATTCACGCGATCGGCAGACAGTCGACTTTAACAGATTCTGTGCCAAACCACTAGCCTTACGAACCACACCCCTGATGTGCTCGTGAAACTTTAATTGGCAGTCAACGGTAACGCCCAAGTCCAGATGGCTCTCAGCAGAAGGGATCTGTTGGCCGTCAAGGAAGTACTCTGGAGAGACTAGCTTTGATCTAGAGTTGGCAAATCTTAGCACGACACATTTATCGGAGTTCATTCTAAGACCCCATGATGCTGCTGTGGTGTGTAAGAGGTCGATGTCTTTCTGCACATGTTGATAATGAGACAGTGTTGATAGAGCGGGAGCATGAGACACACAGGCATACATTTTAAGATCATCGGCGAAAATTTTATAACTGCTTGTTAACTGTGAGGCTATGCTGTTCACATATACTAGGAACAGAAGTGGTCCAAGGACACTACCCTGTGGGACACCACTAAGGACATTCCTTGGCCGGCTCCTACAGTCCTTAACACAAACCTGCATCTCCCTGCCATATAGGAATGAGGAAAGCCAATCAAGCAAACGGCCATGGATACCCAGAGACCTCAGCTTAGCAATCATCAAATCGTGACAGACCACATCAAACGCCTTGCTGAAATCGAAGAATATTACATCTGTGACTCCACCCATGTCAGCTGCTCTCGAAACGGCGTTATACACAAGTAACAGCTGATCCATAGTTGACCTGCCTGCCCTGAAACCAAACTGATTTGGTGTCAGTAAGTCATTTGATTCCAAGTAGTCACGAAGTTTGGCACAAATAATTCGTTCCATGCTCTTGCACACCACAGAAGTTAAACTGATGGGCCTGTAATTAAGTGGATCATATCGTCGGCCTTTTTTGAATATCGGTATAACATGGGACAGCTTCCATAGGACAGGCAGTTGGCCTTCCTGGAGAGATCTGAGGAGCTTGGGAGGATGGAGGGAGCTTGGGAGGATTGGTGCAGATTGGTGTCATGTCATGCTGAATTGCGAGTTTCTCGTAAATTTGTGACTGGAAAGTGAAAGGAAATCTCATTAAGATACATCACGGTAATTTGCTCCTTTTGTACCCTTTACATTATGCGCATAATGTAATGTTTTGATGCTCTCCAGCAGAGCCCTTAACAAGAGAATATGATGTTATTAAGTGAATCAGATAGCAACTGTTTCATAACCTCTTTTTTCAGGTTGAGATTGTGACAAGACAAGAAAACCGACAAGATGGCTTCATCTGGTTTTAGTGGATTTCTTCGGCTCACAGATATTCTAGATGACTTCATCGCACCATCTCAGGAGTGTATAAAACCAGTAAAAGTAGAGAAGACTGGAGGGAAACTGGGAAAAATAAAAATAGAAGAGGATGGGTCATACCATCAGGTGCCTATTTTCTTTTACTTTTTAGTAATGTTTCACTGACTTCCTTAGATAAGATGCACAACTATAATCCAATGACAAACTAAAGGGAAATTTAGGCTTTTGGAATGGGGAGTCTGATTAAAAATGGGACCTTAACCTGAATCTTTCTTTTGAAATAAGTTGTATCAGTATCAATCTTATTTGCCTGCTTGCTCTGTAAACATTCTGAGTTGGAATTGATTGAATTTGGACTCATTTGAGTAATTAGGCTCATCTTTCTATTGTGCTCCTTGTTGGATCGCCCATAAATATATTATTCTGTCAGATATTTGTGATGTCCTGATGTCTAAAATTGAGAATGCTTCCAGGTGTCAGCTGGCGGTGAGTCACGGCGACTGGAGAAGGCCACCATCTCCCTGAGCGACTGTCTGGCCTGCAGTGGCTGCGTCACCTCGGCAGAGACAGTGCTGATCGAGCAGCAGAGCGAGCAGCAGCTGCTGCGCGTGCTGCGTGAGAACGCCGCGCTGCCCGAGCCGGAGCGGCGCACAGTGGTCGCCTCGCTGGCGCCGGCCGCCGTGGCCTCCCTGGCGGCGGCTCACGGTCTCGAGGCAGCCGCCGCCGCCCGCCACCTCTCCGGCTACCTCCGGCAGCTCGGGGTGCAGTTCGTCTTTGACGTGGGTCTGGCGCGGGCGCTGAGTCTCGCAGAGGCAGAGGACGAGCTGGTGGAGCGTCTGACACGGCGCGGCGAGCCCGACGCCGCTCCGCTGCCGCTGCTTGCCTCCGCCTGTCCGGGATTCATCTGTTATGCGGAGAAGACGCACGGGAAGCTGTTGCTGCCGCACATCAGCCGCGTGCGCTCGCCCCAGCAGGTGGCCGGCTCCCTGCTGAAGCGCCGCTGGGCACAGCAGCGTGGCACCGCTCCCCACCGCATCTATCACGTGGCGCTGATGCCGTGCTTCGACAAAAAGCTGGAGGCGGCCCGCGACGACTTCCGCGCGGCGGATGGTCAGGACGTGGACTGCGTCATCACGCCGATCGAGCTGGAGCGGCTGCTGGAGGCCGAGGGCGCCCGGCTGGCGGACGCCGCCGCCGTCCCGCTGGACCGGCTGCTGGAGGCGCCCGAGCTGCTGGTGCACGCCGGCTCCGGCAGCGGCGGCTACGCCGAGCACGTGCTGCGCGCCGCCGGCCGGCGGCTGTTCGGCGCCGACCCGGGCCCGGTGCAGTTCACGCCCGGCCGTAACCCCGACCTGCTGGAGGCCGAGCTGGCCGCCGACGGCGAGGTGAAGCTCCGAGTGGCCATCGCTAACGGGTTCCGCAACATCCAGAACCTGGTGCAGAAGCTGAAGCGGCGCCGCTGTCCGTACGACTATGTGGAGGTGATGGCGTGCCCGTCGGGCTGTGTGAACGGCGGCGCGCAGAGCCGGCCGCCGGCCGAGCTCGACGCCCGCGCCCACCTAGCAGAGGTGCGCCGCCTGTACGCCGCCCTGCCGGGCGATGAGAACGACGCCAGCGACGCCGTGCGCCGAGCCAGGGAAACTGTGAGTAAGGAGCTACTCCATACCGAGTACCACGTGATAGAGAGTGACACGGGAGCGCTCAACATCAAGTGGTAGGTTTGTAGCGTTACGTGTTTTTATGTCTTTTGTACGCCTAGTATTTCTAAAAAATGAAGTGATAAACGGTGATTGTCTTCGTATATAATGTTGATGTGAATCATAAGTAAGTCGGGTTTATTAGATAATATATCGTACATATATCACAACGCTCAAAGCTACTCGTGTGATAGTTCGTCGTCAGCGCTCTTTTTATGGTAGAAAAATCCGATAGTTATCCTATATTCGGTCTTTACTTTCAAGTACCCTCAAAACCTCGAATCTTTTAGTCCCGCTTAGTACAATGCCTATTGAGTATTGTATCACGGCCTATTGCCTACCCCGCTTATTGTATCTCGACGCGGATAACTGAAAAGATGGGAAAACTGCTCGAGTCGAGCAGGACACTGCATTTAATGTTGTAATTTGTTACGTAGAAAAGTAAAACGTGTATCGTTGCAACTTTGTTGCCCTTTTTTTGAGGCCAAAATGGCGGTTAAAAGTAAGATGTTAAAAAAAACATCTTACTGGATACTGCGGAAGCTGAAAACGGCTGTGAAGGGGCCGGGTACTTTTCCGGCGTTGATCCTAGTTCACGAGTGTAAGTGCCTTTATTTGTATGCACCACCTTTACAGCGGAGTCGTTTTGCCCGGGTTTCACTCCACATGACTGGTCGGCCGGCCTGCATTGGCACAGTGACGCAGCCCGATGCTCTGATTCAGCCGGTCGTCGGTACTCCCCCAAACAAACTGTGCGCGGCGCCCCGCTCCGCACACCCCCGGTCACATCGGGTATGCAGGAGGGTGCCGGCCGGCCTGGGTGGCCAGCGGTTACAGCGCGGCCCGTAAGCCAACAGTGGACGGCCGACGGTCAACTCGGCCGGCGGACGTTTCACCTGGAAAACGGTACTAATGGGGGCGGCTCGCGCGGTTCGGAGCGCGCGCCCAGACCACGGCGGGCCCCTCCGTCACGTAACGGCTATCGCAAATGAGGAAAACGGCTGAGAGGACCAGCCTTTTGCTTGCAGAAGCCGCGGATAGAAATGGGTTATTCACCCTAGGTTTCCGCGTCCGCTGTCTTCCAGAGCTTTATGAGAGGGAGGGAAAGTTGCCCTCCC